ATTGTTACAATATCCGTTGAAAATTGAGAAATACTCGAAGCTTCATTGCCATTTAAAAAGCAACGCGTAACGATCGCAATAATTACATGGCGATGATTATTTACAATTATCCAGTTGTAAGGCAAAATTAAATGACGTGTCGCGTCGAGAGCGAAAGAGAGAATATATATTCAGTTCATTACTCCGTTGGTTATTAGTTTGTCTGTTATATCGATTGCATCAATAACAGTAATCGTGAAAAAAACAACACTTTAATTAGTGTAGCAATTTCGAGTAATCATCGGCATATACACGATGGTAATTGCTCTTTTGCAAAAAAAAGAATCGAGAACCCGATACTTTAAAGACCCGAGAGCGCGATATGGCAGCGATGAAAATCATCGAGTAATTAAAATGACAATTAAAAAGAAAGTTGCGCGCAAGCGGGCATTTCTGAAAAAAGTTCTGATACCCTCCCTCCCATCGTCGCGCGCGCGAGCGCAGAGAGAGAGAGAGAGAGAGAGAGAGAAAGATGATAAAGTTACGGCGGGCTGCATGCGCGGCAGGCAAATAAGACGTTGTCGAACAGAAGAGAGAAAAAGTTTTATAGAGACATTATAGTCTCTAATTTAACAGCGGACAAACCGAAAATTGTCAACTCTTGATAATTGCACATTGTCTATGCAATTTGCAAATGCATAGATGGTACGCGCGCGCACGAGACACGAAACTTTGACTGATACTCGTACGTGCAAAAAGTTTGATAATAAGTTTTGCCGAGCAATGTTTTTGCAGCCTCGCCAAACAAAGAAAACAGCAACATTGACAAGCCGAGCGTCTGGGGAAGAAATCACGGATGTATGACTAACGAGAAGGCGATATTTGCGCTCGCGAGAAATCCAGTCGTTAAGCTGATTGTGTGCCACGAGTCAAAGGCGCAACTTGATTACACCCGGTGGTCAGATCAGTTGCGGTGGTTGGAAAAAGGGGTATCTATTATCGTAAAAGCCACAAGCGAATCATTCGCATGACTCGAACTGACTGGTATATACGGCATAGAATGACGATCGAAGACGATGTATAACAACTTTATTTCCCTTGGCCGCGAGTTTATAAGACGAGAAGCGCATATATACGAGAGTAATTTTCGAATAAAATTGCTCGAGACGAACGCGATCGCGGCGCAATATAAAATAGAGCGAGCCATCGAGCCAATGGACTGCTGATGAAAAGCCGTGATTCCCGCGGAAAAAGAAAGGCAAAAGGCAGTCCAAGCAGTTAACGGTCCCGACGTGTGGTTTAAGACTAAGCCAAGGAGCGCAGAGATCCCGGAGCGTCGCAATTTGCCGACGAGATCGATCTTCTTGCGCGAGTTAACACAATTATTCGCTTATTCGCGACCTCGGGGGATCATTTGGCGAAGGAGAGAGCGCGTGGCCAAATGGAATTTACGGGGCTGTGTAATCATGCGAGCGAGGGAGGAGAAGGAGGAAGCCGCGCTCGCGCATAATCAGCAGCGCGAGTACGATGCGTTTTGCCGATCACCGGCAAAAGAAAACGGCGCTCCACGTCATTTCCGGCGGGAGAGCAAACGAGAAAATTCTCCGCGTACCACGCGATATGGGCGCTTTTTAATGAATTTGCGCGATATGTGCGTATATGCGCGCGCCACGCCGAAATTGCCGCTCGCATGTACTGTGCACTTAACGCTCATTACCGGCCTATGCTGATTGCGGCTACGGGCGGCACTGGCTTGGCTCTTATTTTCGGAAGGAAGCTCGATTGCTCGTTTCCGGCTATGTACGATGCGACTGCGGATTGAGCCCATCTTATTTTTTTCTCCCGCAGGCATGCAAATTAAATAATGCGCATGCTGCGACCATTGCCAAGGATGCGGCGTTTATTTGCTGAATCAATTGTCAGGTTGCGTATGTGATTCTGCACAGGATGTGCTGAAGCCTGCCATATAAGTATGCCTACGTGGATGTTGGCATCACAATCGCATTTCTGAGAGATGTGGGAACATTTTCCGAATAACAAGTACATATCCAAGTTACTCGTATTGTTTTTTCTTCCAGACGTTATACGTACATTTCTTATTTTTCTGCATAAAGTTACTCCATATCAATTCAGATTTGTGCAATTTTATTGGCAAGTAAAGTTGAAGATTCGTTCAATATTTCGAAACCTCACATTTGTTTACTTTATAGACTTCAATCTTTGTTGAAATTAATTATTACATATTATTGCAATTCCCATACCTTTGGGATGAAAATCGTTTCTTGAAAATTAGTTTGATGGTGGAAATAATAAAATATAAACTTATGTATATCAATATTCTACCCCAAGTACTCGTAGATTAAATCAAGTTGCATAACTTACAACTCTTCAAAAACCGATAAATTATTAACCTGCAATCCGAATACAATTAAGTCAAGAAAAACTGCCGGTGAAAAACCACAAAGCACTGCAGCAGGATGAACAGTAAGCGTTCAGGATTTGTAGCAATTATAAGTCCATCGGCATCTCTCCCGATGACCACATGGCCAAAGTAAAAGGCACGTGCTGGCCGAAATTCCTCTTGGACGGCCGCCCTGTTATTATCCGCCCCCGATGCCTATTTTCCCTTTCAACCCCAAAGAGTGAGTGAAGCGTCTGCCAATCAGCGATCCGTCGATCGCTATGCATGCGTGCGTGTAAGTGTGCGGCCTCAACAGAAGTCGATAAGTATAGATCCTGTCGAACGCCAGGGACAAGATCGTCGGGTATTAAGGAGATTTAGCGCGCTCAATCACTTTGTCACGTCATTTTTCACTCGATGTTTACTAATTTCTTTCCATCCCCCAATTTACCACTTGGAGAGTTATTTTAAAGCGCTCTTAAATATATTACGCAACGGCTATTCCGTAACACCTGCATTCCACCCTGATCTTGCTTACTAATTTCATCTTTATTTCTTTCTGTTTTAGGTAAGTCACGTTGACGATTATTTCATGACACATACACCTCCATCATGTAAGTCTATAACTCTGCACTTGTATCGATAAAATAGAGAAGAAATCGTTCATTCGTGGCCGCAACTGATGAAAAACCTATGAATTGACCTCGTAAATCAAAGCCCAAAAAAAAGCATCCCAGTCAAATTAAACTCATCGACGCGTGCATTTTGTTCTTTTTTTCCTTTTATATGCGCGCCTTTTCGAGTAGTATAGCCCTTCAGGCCCTCCCACGACTGCCCATTGTCTGCGGCTGACCGTAAGGGCGCCTGTATCGCCCCTCGCAGCACCTTGCCTTTGTCGGCGCTTGCGTAGAATGACACGCGATATTCGCATCATCACCTTGTTCCCTTTTCCTATACCTTGTACATATTGCTCCTGTTCTTCATTTGAACAAAATTGTTTTTTCTAAAGCCACTCTGAGTGATAGTAATTTACAATGGCCAGGAGATTGATATTTATATTGGTGATTTATCGCTTTCGATTAGAGATCCGTAATTGAAAGAAAAGGCTTTCATGCACTTCTTTATCTTTCGTTTATCGCGCAAATTATACTTTGCTATGCACAAAACTGTGCTGCTGCTGAAGAAGGCATAGAATCAATATCGCAACGAATCTTTTATTAACCATGAGTTAAATGCCTATTGTCCGTTTGGCCATGATAGATTCCAGCGTTTGATATCGGGAATTAATTGTATCTAAAAATAATGCACTGCGACGATGCGCAAGCAATGAACGATTACGCCTCACGCACCAATGGAATGCTTGGTTACATTTGGTCGCGGAAAAAAAATTGAAGCACGACCTAACAAAAAAAGCTAGCTATATCGCATTACACTTTCCATCACCGCAATCTCGCATTAATGATAGTTCATTACAGAAATATACGAGATAACGAAAGGCCGATAATGGACGACATCCTCTTGATCAATTACAAAATCATATTTCAAAAGCACTTTGCATACTCTCTCGCTATTCAAGAGTCAATAGCAAAGTGTCGAAACGGTTAGTCGTGTGCGCGTCGAGGGCGTCACGAAGCACTGGCTACGCCACTGGCGTTATGGAAGATAATTGGCCTCTTCCCCCTTTTGCCTCTTGCCCTTTCTCACTCTTTCTCTCTCTCTCTCTCTCGCCACATGCACACACGTGTATGCACACGCGAGAGAGCACACGCGCGTTCCAACTCGGCGCCGATGAGATTTGAAATTCAAACGTCCCCAATTAAAAACGCATTAGAATCTCGTAATGCGATCTCGAATAGTTAATGTAGCAGAACAGCCGCCCAGACTCCACACAAGTCCGCTCTATCCGGCCGACGTTTTGCCGTGAGCGCAGTATTCGAACTCGTATATGATACTGGCGGTGGTTCTCTGAGAATTTCATGATATTATTGTTGTCGAGCGGAAATTACGTATGCCGATGGCAGTTACATTGGCGTATCATCCGATGGTTGCGATTCTCCAAGTTTGATCGTTGGTCCGGCGGTTCGCAGGAAAACAAAGCAGTGAAAAGCGTTGCTTTAGCCAATAGCCGCGACATTTGCGAGCGGTGAAATGTCTTGAAAATGCCGCAAGCCCGAGCAATCGCAAAGAGCTTGAAATGGAAGAAAGCCCGAGCACTTTGCAACCTGCGCGGCGTCAAGCCCGAAAATCACTTTGGCGATGCTCGCGCGCGGGCCTTTCTCTCTGGCGAGGCATGGCCTGTGCGAAAATCGTTTCGCCAAGTGCCCTCTCGCGGACAGTGGCGCCAGCGGCGGCGGCGGCGGCGGCGGCGGCGGCGGCGACGACGGCAGTACATAAGTCAAGTGGCGAGCACAGACGAAGAAGGGATAAAGTTCCCCTACCACTGGCGCGCGTAGCCGGAATGCTCGGTTGGTTGCGGTGGGCGTCGTGTGTGGTGGGCGTCGCTTTGAGGCTCGGCCCCTTTTTTGTGTGCGCTACGCGCGCGCTTGTCCCCTTCTTCGGCTGTCGCCGCTGCTGGCCGCACGCGCGCCAGCCAGGCCGACAGAGAGGGAGAAACCGAGCGGCTCCGAGTCACGGCCGGTTGCCAGTCTGTCACGGGGCGAACTGCGGGAACCACGTTAACCGGTTCCCCCTTTGGTGCGTTCTCACTCGAGGGAGAAAAGGAAAAAAAACACGAATATACGGCGTTCCTTCGCTTTTCCTTTATTCTTCTTGCGCTCGTGCGGTCGCTCTCTCTCTCTCTCTCTCTCTCTCTCTCTCTTGTGTCTGTCTTGTGCTTCATTGACGCGAAAATCAAGTGTGCCGAGACATTCAGCGAAAATTTCGTAAAAAAACGAGTCTGCACGAGTTGAGCATTATTGCCAGCCAGTATGCTCACTGACATGACACCCGCGGCGGCTGGCCAACTGTATCCTCAACTACAGTCCATCAGCAAGTCGCCTGTGCACGGACACGTGGTGAGTCTTCCATATGAGATATATCGCATTAGATATTTTCTGCTGAATCTAACTTAACGGATCTGCAGATGGCAACCTATTTCCGTATTTTACTTCGTGACGATTTCCAATTGCGATCGGTTTACATGATAACAGATCGGTCCACTTGCCCCACAGTTGTTTATTCTTCTGCCACTGCTGCTTCTGATCCTTAAGCTAGATCTGGCTTTTTAAGTGGAAAGCTTTGACTAATTTTCTTTGCTGGTAGAGGATTAGATTATTTGCTTTTCTATTTTCGGACATTCTCGTGTTTTTCTCCCCCAAGCTTTTATACCTGCGACAAGTTTGAATAGCAAAATATCGTTCTTTTGTACGGCGAAGCCCTATCAGTGTTTCCAAATCATTCTTGACATTTTCTCCAGAGAAACACTATGTATGGCGCTCGTTGTTATTGCTTTAATGATAGGTTTTTCCATAAATATGCCATATCATTCAAATTACGATATTTACGTATGCTCATTGCCTTTTTGAACAACTGCAAAAAGCAGACAATGCACGATGCCTCGTGCTTTTATTTATTTTATCATACAATAGAATTAGCCAGAGGTAAATTTCAATGTAGACTTTATGTGTGCATTTATAAAGTATGTGAACCCTCGGCAATGATAATGATTAATTATGTTAATTCAAGTAACAAGTATACACATGTAATTGGCAGCGTATAATTGAAATATTGGTCTCAATTGTTGTAGTCACATGGCAAAGATATTCCACTTTGCCACACATATCTCGCTAAAATATTTTACAGCCCTCCCTCAGTCCCGAGAGAAGAAAAAAAAAGAAAAAAGATCACACCATCGTAAGAAAAGTAAATAACACTTTCCAAACAATGTTTCTTGGTTGCGCGCTGCTTGAGTGCTGAATCTCAGCTTGTAATCCCACTTGTCAAAACAGCAGCCAAGCAAGTCAGTAATCTCTCTCTCGGTAATCTTCAAAACAGAGCAACTGGCATTTAAAAAGAAAAAAACGGAAAAGAAGACCGAGCGATTTTTCAGGAAAAATCCTGCAACGCAACGTCCCGAGCACATTCAACTACTCCACTTCCGTCGCTCATAGCACAAATCCCATTATGCGACTGATCTGCGCGCGGCTAATCCTCTCGACGGAAGCCGACACGTGTTCCCACTGCCGGTCGTTTTACGACTGCGCTGCGATGATTTACGAGACGACGTCGGAAAAAAAAACGTAATTAAAATCTTGGCAATGACTCGAGCTCGACCGCTCTCTGCGTTATTAATTAACGCAAAAATTCATTTTCGAGTCGCAGCGCACGTGCAAGCATTCAAGATCTTTCTATTTTGCTAGCTCGTCGAGCGGGCCTTCCTTTCGTTTTTCTCTCCTTTTCTTTTCTTTGGTTTTTCTTCGAGAATGTGCTGCAACGTCATGTTCGTTCGATTGATATAATCAAGTCCGATGGCGAGCTCCGTCGAATTTGCACAAAGGAAGGGAAGAAAAGGAGTGTATAGGCAAAAACACACCTGCTCGATCATTCTCTCTTATACCCCCGCGCTGTAGTAAAAAGTTTTGCTCTCCTGGTTTTTTCGAGGCCCCCGGGCGATCGAATAATATTCGAGTAACGATTAAATTTGAAGCATCGATTCGAGTAATCGAGTAACGTCGCGAGCTTTCTAGTGAAAAGTTGAAAATCGGGTAATTCAGTAGCCGTGGGCTCACGAATCAATATCATCTTGGACGGAAATGAGTTCGATTTTTTTTTCTTTCCCTATTCGTCAGACACACCTTCGCGATCGAACGCGAATAAAAAAAATGTATCGAATGTCCGCACTGACAATGCAAACGGATCGAGAGAAAGAAAGGAGCATCACTACCTGTGTCCTATCCCCAGTCGAGAGCCAATTATTTATCTGATCTCCTTTGTGCGAGCGCGCGCCTCGTGCGTATGTACGTGTGCAGCCTCCACTTGACAGGATGCGTGGGACGCAATAGGACGCCTATTTCCTCTCGTCACACGATTCCCATCCTGTTTTTCTCGGTCTGGAATAAACTTTTTTTTCTGCTCTCGTTGCTTTCTCTCTCTTTTTTTTTGCCACTGTACCGAGCAGGTTGATGCGGGTAGATACCAGTGTGGCATTGAGAACATTTTTTTTTTGATAAGACAGAACGTACCTTGTGTCAAATTCATGACGCGCGATGGATGCATAATTTTATTGTAAATTAGTCAAATTTAAAGTCAGAATTCACGGCAAAAAATCCCTTGCTCATAGCGATTGGCACAGGTCTCGCGAATACATTCGATCTAAAGGTTTCGGAGCGCTTATTGTGTATACGTAGGATTTCCTTTTTTTTTGTTCTTTTTCGGAAAAAGGCCAACATTTTCGTCGACCAACAATAACAAGATGACATTGCGCAACGCGTGCGCGTCTTGCTCTCCATTCAGCCATTCATTCGTGCGAGCGAGCGCAAGAAGGGGCCTTTTCGAGTGCATCCCGGCATTTCTCCGGGAGGCATAATCCGATTTCCCACTGCGAGCGCTATGCCGCTGCGCCATGCCCCCTTTGACATTTCGTCCCCGCGGGTGACAATGGTCATTGTGGCCTTTTTACGCTGCCTAAGAGGATTTTACCATAGTCAAGAGCGCTCTCCCAATTTGTCGCGACCTTTTCTCTTTTTCGCGAGATCTGACCATTCGAGTGTTTTCATACACGCATACAAACGTCCAAATATTTTGGAGAGAGCGTTAATCATCCGCTTGGCGATGGCCCTTTCGTATATTTATATTGGCTCGCTACCTCGCTATTCATATTAAAATCCGCTTTCACGAGAGATGTTTGTTTGGCAGTTTTTGGGGAGCATTCACGCCGCACTGTTTATACGTGTTTATGAGGATTATGTCCGATTATGCAGATTTCATCTGTTGACCAAGCGTAAATACCTGTAAATACGTGTAAATACGTGTAAATACTCCAAATTTAAACAGTGGATAGGAATGCTTCCTTTATTTAGATGCTTTGTATATCGCATTATCCGAAGCTTATTCTTCATTCAAGTGTTTTTGATCACTATGAAAGCTTCTCTTAACTGAGTAACAAAGCTGAGCATATAATTACTAGACTTACACGAAACTACTGAAATTATTAAGAGCTTCCCGAAAAATCCTCACCGTCCGAGCAAGTTCCTTGAAGAAAGGCTTGTTGTGGGCCATTTCAAAAATGAAAGCCACACACAGAGACTAATCCACTGTCGCACCTTGTGCACGCGACGACGTGCAAACACCCGCTTCTAGGTGACTATTCCCTAATACCCTTTTCTCCTAGCGGCGGCTGTCTCATTTTCGAGAACTTCGCATAGTACGTTCGCACCTTCGTTGGTGTGTATGTATGGCAGATGTTCGAGGTGACAAAATGGCCGTCATTCTTTTCGTCGACTGTTCCTATTCTTCGCGCGTGGATCCCCCTTTCGTGGACCTTCTCTCCTTTTTTTTCGGACGAGGAGGTGCGGCTTCTCTTGTCTCCGTTCGTTCATCGTCTAATTTCGTGCACTTCCAGTCGTTGCTTGAAAAACAGAAACGTTTTGACATTTCAATTTAAGAGTGTATTAATATATTCATATACACATGTATTCCTCGAATAAACCGTTTTTCCGCGGCACACGTGTTAGCTGTGTTTTCTAGTACCACTCATTCATCTCACGCGCTCGGGTTTTCCGCTCCGCTTGTTCACGCATTCGTTCGGAATTTCGTCGTTGACACTCACCGCGCCACAATCGAACGTTCACGTGCCGATGATCGATGGCCCTTTTGGAAAAACGGCTCCCAAAAAGAAACCACGTTTGCTGCTTTCGTTGAACTAGTTTACATGATTATAAACACTATCTCAAGTTTCGAGGATCGCTATGTCGTTATGGGAATTGAAAACTTCATATTCGAGTGTTGTAATACATTCATACAATCCGATTTGTCCATCGTGATGTGACAACCCCTCTTTTGCACTATGAATCATACGTAATTTATTTAACATTAACGCGATTCAAACTATATCGCGTCAAACTTTAACTTGCAAACGTGGAAAAAACACAGTGGCTGTAAAGACCAGTGCGTGTATTGCCTACTTTACAGTCAGCATGTAAAACCGCAGAAACAAATTACGATTGAACAAGCACCAACACACACGATTCTATACGAGCCCACGCGAGAGGCAGAAAAACTGCCGCTGCGTCCAACGCAAACAGTGTAAATCAATCGATCGAGCGACTCGCACAAAACATCACGTACCTATACACATAGTCACCAATTTGATAGATATACCAACGGTAGTCTTTTTTTTCAAATTTATTTAGCAAAGAACAAAATATTTGAAAGAATCGACCAGTCGCGTTCCTCGTAGAACTCATTCATTGCTTCGCAATTGTCGTAATATGACGTTTACATGCGATACAGTAAACGGAGGCGGCCAAGTTATAATACTTTCTTATTTGTATGCAGGAAAAAGAGATTCTGTTATGCAACGTTGATGCGCGTATGACAAAACCATAAAACGCCTCCACAGTTGTATTGTGGTTAAGGACAACTTTTTTAATTTAATAGAGACCGCATAATACTGTCGATCGAAGCGCGCACGCGCGCAGAGCAAAGTTAGATCGCATTAGATAAATTTAACTCGACGCTGTACGCGCGTCCAAGTTAAGGAAAAGTTTCTCTCCCTCGATGCTATTCCCGAGCACAAATAGTTTCCAACAAAGTCCTTGAATAATACACGAGCTGCTAGTCAAAATGAGCATATATGGCTGTGTGGTAACTGATTTGACATGTTGTTCGCGCATATCTCTATTAACAAACGAAGAAGAAAAAAAAAACAATCGTCGCGAGAGCGTGCAAAGTAAGGTAGCGGGGGTTTGGCCGCCTGCTGAGCGAATCAAAACACCGCTCTCTCACCGCGGGTGATTTATCGGCTCGATGATAGGCCAAGTCCGATTCAATTGGGATATGGATCTTTTCCTTCCCT